CTGGCCTTTTTACTTAGACTGTTTTGTGACACTTTGTTCTTTCTTTCCAGTCCAGTTAAAAGCAGACTGTAACAAGGGGTATGTCACAGTTAAGCAGGTATGTTTTTAAATGGGCATACAATATTTCTGCTACTTACTGGGCTGTTTGTTGTACTTAAACTCCACAAATGCTGCAGGTGATGATTCTGATCTGAATTGGGGTCTGAAGGGCCTGAAGCTGTTGTATGACCAAGGAGAGCACAAGCACAGCGAGTGGTCCTCGGAAGGGTTCTGTCCTTTTTTTTTTTTTTTTTTCTTTTTCTTTTTTTGTGCACCTCGATGGAAAGACTGCACTATTCCTTCCAGATACTTTCCAGTCTCAGACAGCCAGACTTGCAGTATCAGGGAATGCTGCTGTGAATCCTCAAACTGTTCTCCCAGGCACTACGTTTGGGAGATTTTGGGAGTTCTTCCCCTAAACATGCTGATCTGCCTCCCGAGCCTTAAACTTCTAAAGCTGAGGCAGCCCTTCATTTAAGGTCAAATTGGTTCTTGTGTTAATGGGACTGGGCAGTTGTGGAAGGTTTTTGTTCTGATGGTTGATCAAAAAGGTGTGGTCACCTTTGGGAAGGGATGGGATGTGAGACAGCACTGCAGGCATTCTTGTGTTGCTAACTGGATGGATGTAGGCCTAATCTCACATACTTATGAGGACCAGTATCCCTGAGATAATACGAAGGGAAAATTCTCTGGCTTCAGGTAGCTGGGGCATGTATGTGCATCTGCAGCATCAGCACGTGTGGACAACACGTCAACATGTTCCACCAACTGAGGGGTAATGTCTTCTGCCAAAACACCAGAGCTCAGTAAGCACAGGGACCCCACTGGCACCTGGTGAATCCGGCAAAGATCTCTCAGCTGATCTTCCGCAGAAGTCAGCCTTAGCTGCAATTTGAACACAGTATTACTGGAATCTCAGGGCTGGGAATAGTCTCTGTCGGTGGGTGCTAGCATGTTTTCACTGCCTCCTCTAGAGTTGCTTCCCAGGTGATTCGTGTGCAGCACAGTGATCAGTTGTTCAATAGTGTGTTGTCCTGGAGGATGTGAAGTGTACTTGAGTGAAACTGCAGAACTGTAGGCTGAAGAGATCCTGGCTGGAATCGGGCGGGTGCTTCATCACAGTGAATACCAAGTGATGAGAGGCACAGTACCATCTTGTGAAGCGGGCAGGTATCGCAGTGACAAAGGTAAAGAAACATTCTGTGACAGTTTATCAGTCACAGGAAAGAGCTGGTTTCCTGGAACTTGCTTCATGCATAAACGTTAGCCAAAAGCATTTTGCTGAAGTTGGAGACTCCTAATTTCCCTAGGGTCACCCTCATGATCAGGCAGAATCCGTCTATGAAGCAGTCATGTAGGTTGCCTGCACCACATTGTGTAATCAGTTAGGCCTGAAGCAGAGGAAAATGTATTGCTTTTCAGTTATCAGCTAAACTTCAGGTAACTTCTCAGGCTTAAAACCACTGTTTTGAGGGGAAAATTGTTTTAGAGTTGCATAGAGCTGTAAACTGATGCAATGAGAGAGGCAGGTAAAAATTTGACTTTGCTGCCCTCATTTTCTGCTAGAATAGGATAAATAATAGTTTTGTGGAAGTGTAAGGTGCAAAATGGAAAATAAAAGCATTAAAATACAGATAGGCTGGAATATGCTGAGATGGGCAGAGAGGTTTATCCTCTCTTCAAGGAACAGCTAATTGTCACCATGTTTGAACAGTCTTCTGTGGGCTGGAGAAAGGTTATCACATTTGGCTTGGGAAAGACAAAAAAGGTAGGAGCAAGGAGGTGATCCCTGTGTAGTGGACTCTTCTGGGGGCTCAGAGGGACACTTTTCCTGATTTTTTTTTTTGGTTTTTTTTTTTTTTTTGGCCTATGCAGGAGAGAGTGTGTTGCAAGTGTTAGCAGTGAGCTGTGCTTGGTGAGCCAGTGGTTGTGAGCCTGAACTCCTTTCTCTCTTGAAATGAAGCCAGAAGAGTGTGCTTGTGGATCTGAAGGCAAATGTGTTGATGGGGCAGCATGCGGTAGAAGCAGAAAACAAAATGTAGTAAATAGGAGAAGAAAGAGGAAGTAAAATAATTTAAAACCAGGAAAATTTCTGGGGATAATTGAACTGAAATAATTTGTTAGAACTACTGTTACTCTTCAGAAATAATTGTTACTAAGGCTTTAACAGTTGTTTAATAGGTTGTTAATTTTTTTGAGCAAAGTGTGGTGTAGGTCTTGCTGTAACTCTGTAGCCGGCTGCTGCGGAACTGTCCCACGGCCCTGCGGGTTGTGTGCTGACAGCTGTGGTCGCAAGACTGGACCATAGAGAGGATTCCCCAGTGTTGGGCTTCCCTGATCCTCCTGAGCCGGTTGGCGTGGGGAGGTGGTGCAGTGAATACAAAATGCATTTGCTTTCCAGAATAGTGATATTCCAAGACAATGGAGGGGTGGTGGACGATTCCAGTTACAACATCATTTGCTTTTTTTTTTTTAATTTTTCTCCCTACCAAAGATAGGAGTCAACCCAACTAGCATTGATCTCGTGAATATTGGCAAGGATGAAGAGGTGAAAATGAAGCCAGGCCAGATTCTGCATATTGTGAATAAACTTTACCCCTACACAGTGCAATTTGCTGAGGAGTCAGGGAAAACTGTTACGGAAGCAGAAGGGAAAATACAAACTGACAGGATGCCATGTGAGGACTCCTGCGAGGATGACGATGTAGAGCTTGTGCCCAGAAAAACAAGGAAGATGGAGGTGGTGGATAGACGAGGCAGTTCTGCAGATCCCAAGCTAAGTGATACCCCTGTATCTCCACATGAAGGAACTTCGAGCAAGAAGGCAAGCGTATTGGTATTAGTACCTGTGCTGTTTCTCCTGGGGCTGTCTTCATTGGGGCTTTGATCTTTTACTTTCGTGGGTACTACTGATGGGAAAGCGTCTCAGGTCAACACAGATCCTCAGAGCATTCGGAGCGTGTGAGCTGACATGCGCTGAGGCAAAGACATCACCCTGATAAAGTCACCTGGCACCCATTCTAACCTGAGCTGGGGGGTGGGTCTGTGTGAAGGGGCCTGCTTGTAGTGGGTGAGGATTTAATCTCTGGTCATGCTGCTGTTCCTGCTAGGACAGTCCACATGAGCTCAGTGTCGCTGGAGTCACACAAGGATACTGTGCTGGCTCGTGAGATGAAATCTACTGTGTTACAAAATAGAGCAGTGGTTATCTAAAAGCTTATGCACAGAGAAAGGAACAGCTTGACCCACTTTTTTTTTTTTTTTTTTAATTGCCTTTGTTTTTTTCCCCAACTGCTTTGGTCATTCTTTATGTTTACATTAATGAATGTTACTAGCCAGAATCTTTTGAATGGGAGTTTTTAGCTCTGCTGGCGTGGACAAAGTAAAAGACTGCCTAGTGCATCTGGAACTAAAACAGTGCAGTTGCTGGAGGAGAAGGCACAGAAATGAAACCCCTCAGGACAAAATTTCAGTCCCAGGTTGTTGAGTGTTGACTGACCACTTACTTCATTTGTGAACTCGGGCTAGTTACATTAGGGCCAGATTTGTGGTGGTATGAGCACTGTTTCTCTGTCAGCACTATAATAATGTTTCAACATCTTCCTCTGTAAGAATATGATGAATATCATTGTTGATAATGCCTGTAAAGTGATCTGAACAGATGAAACGTCTGTTTTGAAAAAAGTGCACTTGAGGCACCTTCTATGAGGTGTTCGGTAACCAAGTTAAGAGATACCTGCTGGTGTTGGCTTGATCTTCCTGTGCCTTTCCTGTTTTCTGTACGAGCCACTCCTTGCACAGTATCAAAAAATAAATACACCTGAGTAGGGCCACACATTGCAACCACTTCCTTGTTCTGTGCAGAGAAGCGTGTGATAGGACAGTTAATGGAGATCCTTGTACCTTCTTTGGCCTTTGTGATCTGTGAAGCAGAAGGTCTTTTAGTAAAATAATCTGTCATCAACAGTAATCAACTGTGCCATAACTATGTGCAAATTATTAAATTCAAACAAATCTAGAGCTCTCTGTTGTTATGTTTCCAACATTTGAAAGACTTAACTTCTAACTTTTAACAGTATTTTGTTAAAAGTTTTCAAAAGTAGCTTTGTGGGGGCAGTTGAAGCAGGTGTGTTGGCATTTATAGAAAGGAAATAATTCAGCTGTCATTCAGCTGTTATTTTACTGTTGTGTACTAATGACAGTATTTAACCAAGTACTTTAAAACATACTTATTTGGTTTCTTAATTCTCTTACACATTATTTTTTCCTTCTGTGCTTTAGGAACATTTAGGACACTGGAGTCAGGGTCTAAAGAGCTCCATGCAAGATCCAAAAATGCAGGTGAGAGCTGTACGCTTGTACTTTACTGTAGTTCCTGTCTAACAAGAGTTAAATGGGCTTGCTTTCTTCCCTCCGCAGTTTACTTTAATGATCTGATTAACCAGTGGAGTAGTGCATAAGGGCCAAATTGTACTTGCATCTCTCTCTGTGGTAGCATTAATTTGGGAGTCTCTACTGATTTTGCAGAATGTCATTATCTTAATTATCTTTGAGCTCTCTGCACTATCAAATTTGGCCAACAGATTTCAAAAAGGTTGTTGTGAGAGCAGGCAAGCAGTGCCGTTGCTTTGTTTCTTCAGGGAAACCACCTAAAATGGTGGCATGGCTTGAAGCTGAGCCAGTAGTGGAGGTTCCTGTTTTCCGCCAGTCAGCTCTACCTTGTTTCCAAGCATGGTGCAGTTTCCTGGTTTCCTGCAAACTTAACTACAGTGCCTTTGTGCCAGCTGACGGGATGTGACCCCTGGCTCCTCCTCCACTCACTTTCTTTGTGCCAACAGGAATTTCCTGGGTGACTTCTTTTAACCTTCTGCAGGTGCTCTAGGTGCACCTCCCTCCCTCTGCTTCCCTGCAGCTGCATAATGGTTTTCCTCGAGCTGCTTTGTTGTTGTCTCCCGCCTGCTTTTTTGGGAGGTCAGACTCAAGACACAGAAGTCTGACAAATGTCTTTTGTGGCTGCAGCATATACACGCTTTCTCATTACTGTATTCTGAGAGAGCACTGAGATGATCTCCCCTATCCATGTATAGAACCTACTTTCATTTTATTTTTAAGTTATGGCAAATATGTAGACAACACCTTCTCAAAACCAAGCTTTTTAGCTCAACTCCAAGATAGGAAGAATGCTCTCCATCAATATTCCACTGTCTGGCAGGGTGAGGCCTGAAGTTTGGGTCCATTTAGCTTGGGTTTTGGCTGGCTGACTGCTGCATGGACATCTTAATGTTAGAGATGTGGTTTTGCCTTTGTACTTCTCAGCAAGAGTATGTGTTCAGGAGGCTGGGTATCACAGACACCTGCGATACTTGGTTCTTCAATTCACTGAATCATTTCAGTTGGAAAAGACCTTTGGGGTCACCCAGTCTGACCAAGCCCTTGTCCATGTGAATGGAGATGATCTCCAAGGGTGAATATCCCACAGCCTTGCTGGGCTGCTTCAGGTGATGATCACACTCAGGCTGAAAATAATTTACTTGGTAACTAATGAGAAGGTCCCTATTTCTTGATTATTTTTTTTTTTTTAAATTCAAGTCTAAAGTGTTGAACTGGGTAGAGTTGTAGGAGAACTGAATGCTCATTCTCCTGGAAATGCCAGCGGTTTCAAATTAGTCTTTTGATGGGGAATGATAAAGCTATTGAAATACTTGGCTTACTTTTTAAACGTGAAGCTTGACCTTCATCACTTAAGTGCTATTTCATATAGCCCTTACCAATGCTATATGAAAGACAGTGCTTTCTTGACCCGAAAGACAAGCTGGTTGTAAAACTGTTCTTTGAGTGTTGCAACACAGATAACTGTTTGTGACTTAGTGTTAACTTCATTTGTTGTGGTTCCAAACTAAATACACAAACAATATGACTCCTATCTTTGCTTTTTAATGAAATATTAAAGAAATGGAAATATTTATTTCTTCTGAAAAAACTTGATCGTGATCCCATTCCTACCGCTTGCATATGCAGACACACTAGTACATGTATATAAAAAAATATGGCGGCATCAACAAGTCTTGCTGCTGGAAGAATCAGTCCTATGATTTGTGTGCTGATAAAATTTTAATCTTCCTTCCTGTAGAGCAAGACTGATCAGCCCTGTATATAAACATACGAGAATAATTAGCAAAGATGACAAAGACATCATCCATCTCTCACCAACAGACACGCTGCTAAGAGACCAGAGACACAGCACACAGTTTCTCTTTCAGAACCTGATAGATTTTTATTGCAGGGGCAGGTTGTCCCCTGGGCCTCTGCATGTGCTTTGCTACTGTTTCTGTGCATCAAATTGTTGCAGAAGGCAAAAAAATAAAAATGAGAAAAAGGGCATGACAGATAGGAGACTGTTCTCCTTGTTTTGAGTGATCTTACAAAGTAGCACGCTGGGTAGCACAAACTGAAATAGTTTGGACTTCAATGTTTTTGTCTTTGTAATGCCGGTGGAGGTCTGCAGTGCTGAGCACCTCAGAGACTTGGGTTTTGCTGCAGAAATCTGCAAAGGATGAGGCAGTCCAGTGCATTTCTACGTGTTCCATATTGAGCACAGTGCCGTGATTTTTGTTTCAGAGACTGCAAAGGTTGAACATAACCTGGTGGAAGTAGTTTCCTAGACCTCGCTGGTGTCGATGAGTCCAGGTGATTTTCAAGACAGTTCGTCTGCACCTGTAGCAAGGGTTAACTTACTGCTCTGTAGGAATAGAAAGCTTTTTCCTTAAAGTATATAAAGAAGGGTGCTAGAACATCTCTCTGTAGCTTTCCGCTGTGTGGTATGGAATCATAGAATCATAGAATGTTTAGGGTTGGAAGGGACCACCAGTGGTCATCTAGTCCAACCCCCCTGCAGTGAGCAGGGACACTGCCAACTAGATCAGATTGCTCAGGGCCCCATCCAACCTGGCCTTGAATGTTTCCAGGGATGGGGCCTCCACTACCTCTCTGGGCAACCTGTTCCAGTGTTTTACCACTCTCATTGTAAAAAATTTCTTCCTTACCTCTAGCCTGAACCTACCCTGTTCTAGTTTAAAACCATTTCCCCTTGTCCTAACACAGCTGGCCCTATGAGGAAGAGGGCGCATATCCTGGACCAGCTTTGTTCCAGCAGAAGTCCTCCTTGAAGCGGAATGCTCTGTTGCTTGATATTTCTCCCCATCCAGTAATGTTTCCTGGCTTTTTCCCTGGCGGTCCCAGTTGCACTGGCAACACATAACGTGTGCTAAGATGTTTAACTTTCAATCAGTAAATAATCTAGTTACTTGTTTTGCAAGGTTTACAAAGATGAAAAGACTGTAGTCATCAAGGATAAATATCCCAAGGCACGTTACCACTGGCTTATCTTACCGTGGGACCCCATTTCAAGCCTGAAGTCAGTCACCAGGGACCATCTTGAACTCCTGGAACATATGCATGCAGTTGGGCAGAAAATGATCAAACAGTGTCCTGCCAGAGAGAATCTGGAGTTCAGACTGGGTTACCATGCTATCCCCAGCATGAGGTAAGACCTAGATGAGTCATCAGGTGGAGACCCTGTTCTTCTGGTTATACAGATTTGGGGCTAAATCTGTGATCTGGCATTGCTAAGAACAACTTGTCCTCTTAAACACTACAAACAGTTTGGTGTCTGAGTCCTTTGGGTGCAGCTGTGCATGCACTGCTGCATACACTCTGGTGGGCTCCGCAGGCGGCGTGGGTCCAGTAGGAGCTGCCTGTTGGGTTCCCCTGGCAGGGTCTGTAGCTGGGGCTGTGGTACGCCTGTGGTGTGGTCCCAGCAACAGAGGTGGCACTGCCGGTGGCCAAGTGCTAGGGACATCTGGGGTCAGAGTGTGACTCTTAAGCCTATCAAGTCCTGCCCGCTATTGAGCAAGAATTTGAATCTTGTGTGTCAGTAAGTCCAGATGTTACAGTGTCCAAATGCTTGCAGATACTGCACTCAGTGTTCCTAAGTTGTTCTTGGATGAAGCATTGAGTCACTGATCAAGTCCCATTCAGGTACTCGACAAAAGTTTAAACCTTTGATTTGTTAAAGCCACTGTCTCTGCCTGTTTGGAAACTAGCAGGAATATAGACTGTAGTTAGGGGCCAGTGGTCGCAGACTAGCGACCTTAACTGTTCATGTGAAACGCATGGCATGGGACAGTGCTTCCAGAACAGACTGGGTTTCTGCTGCCGCAGGACTGTGGGTCAAACATGGTCAAAACTGACCCCCTGTAAGGCTGACGGTCCAACTCCACTGAATCATGTTTGCAGCTGATACTACTGCAAAGGAACTTCAGGCATTAACATTATTCTTCTCTCTTATCTACATAATGTATTTGTTTCAGTCAGCTGCATTTGCATGTAATCAGCCAGGATTTTGATTCTCCAGCCCTGAAAACCAAAAAGCACTGGAACTCTTTTACTACAGACTACTTCTTAAACTCTGAAGGTAATGGTGAGAAAATGTATTTCATAACATGTAATCCTGCTTGTGGGTTCTGGCTTTGGGCTTTTTTTCAAACAAATGAGTAAGCCATAAATTCTGTTGCAATAAGTGAATGGGTTTATGTCATTTCAGATATCGGGGAATAGCACTAAGTAAAAGTCAACTGCATTTTGTGACTGGTTTAAATTAGAATGTGGTGACGATGTGCTGTCCCTGCGAAGCAGTGTGCAGATTCTGCAGTGTTGTGCGTTTCACGATGCCACATGGTCCCAATACCTCCTGCCTCTTTTTTTTCAGATGTGATAGAGATGGTAAGAAGCAAGGGAAAAGTGACGGTGAAGGATCATGTCTCTGAACTTCTCAAACTGCCCCTCAGATGCCATTGTTGCAAACAACAGCTGTCCACTATCCCACAGTTAAAGGAACATCTCAGGAAACATTGGCCAAGATGACGTTGCAAAAATTTGTCTTACAACTGGTCGTCAGATTTCAGGCTATGACAAAGACCTCGAAGCGTTAGTGGACATGTATGTGGTTTGGTAACTGGAATGACAAATGTAGCATGGGAAAAAGTAGCCTGGAAACAGCAGCATACTAACTTTGTAATAGCTTAGACAAAAAAAAGAGCCCAACGTAAAATAAAGTGACTTCTGAAGCTGAAGGTGTGTTTGCAGCTTTGTTGTGGTACTGCCACGCTAATCTGTATGTGAACCAAAGTCTGGAAGAGGTGTTGTGTTTGGATGAAAGGATTCAGAGGTTGAGGCATTGAGCCCAGATCTAGGTTTCTACTGAGAAGGCAAAGAAACAAAAATGATTTAGACATCTTTCTCTTGATGTCTTCTGCCTATCACTGAAGGTTCCCTTCAGTGGTGATGTTGCAGAGGCTGGCGTGGCTGACAGCAGACCTGTCCAAGGAATGTACAAGGCAGGAGCATCAGCTACAGTGTCCCTGCTTTGCTGGGCCACAACAGGGCCTGAAGGTTTTGGAGCTGCTGAACTTACCCTCAGCTGCCGAGCAGCACTAAGAGGGGCAGCCTATCTCTTTTCATGTGCAAGGATGTATTCCATCATTTATATATAAAAATACATGTATAATACGCAATGTCCAGCGTTACTGCTCCCCACAGTAATAAACTGTCGAGGTTTGCAGTAGCTCAGCTGTATATGCTGAGGTTGGTACAGAAACCATGTGGTTTAATGCTGCCCTGTTTCTCCGCATCAGGATTTTGGTGAGCCTCTATCGTTTGATTGTCATCAACGTGTGAGCTCCCAGAGAGGGAGCAGGGAAGTAGGAATAAGAATCTCTTTTCTGGGTCCAGAACTGGTTTGTAGGGTTCAATTTCATTCCAAACCCAGCTTTGACGTGTTAAGTAAGTGAGATGCCCTCTGGCTGAAATGGGTTTCAGTAAAAGAGCACACAGAGCTTTTGTTATACGCAGGAAATGCTATTCGCAACTCTTGATGATGTGTTCTGAGGGGAGAGGGTGTCCTCTTTTTTCGTGCCCCTGCGCAGCAGTGCGTTGTTACACACGCTCTCATGGGTCAGAGAGTGACCCGTTGCTGCTGGAAAAGAACAAAGACGTTCCTGTAGCGGAATGGGGACAGTAAGGGCGAGGGGTTGGCTGTGGCCTGATTTCAAACACTAGCCACACAAAGGGAAGCTGCACTGCTCCACAGTTAAAGGCGCTGTTTATGCCTCACGGCCCGTCACATCTGGGTGGGTGGCACGGTTTTTAGTACCTCTCAGAGCAGGTCAAAGCGAAGTGCAGAGTCCTGCCATCCATCTGTACAGGAATGGTGCACGGCTGTCTTCAAGTCAGGATCATCACCCTTGCAGGCAGAGCACTGGTTTCTGAGGGGCAAGCCTGCGTATGATGTCATAAGTCTGTGGCATCAGTAGAACTGCTGCCACCAGGGCTCCAGGCAGCACCTGCTGCTTGTGCTGACCCCAGGTGGAGAGATGGCCGGGCAGTGCTGCCAAGAACCGTGTCCCACGCTCGCTGTATGAAGTCACAGCTGCACAGGAAAGGTCTGCAAGAATGGCAGCGGCAGACGCGAGCCCTTGGAGGACTGTAAGGGACGGGCACGTGTCCGCAACCAAGGGTAGCCTCAAGGCTGTGAAGGAAACTAGAGCAGTAGTCGTAGACATTGGCACATGTTACTTCAAGTGTGGCTTTGCAGGGGACCCATGGCCTTCCTGCATTGTTTCATCTACAGTAGGTAAGCCCATGCGGGAGGATGGGAGCAGTCAAAAAGAAACCTTTGTTGGAAGAGCACTTCAGAACAGCTGCGTACCCTTAACACTCATCAACCCGGTAAGACATGGCACAGTGGTGGACTGGAACTGTGTCCAAGACACTTTGGAGTGTATTTTCCAGAAAGAGATGAAGATTCAGCCAGAGGACCATGCTGTTCTGGTGTCAGTGCCTCCCCTGTGTTCCATCACTGACAAGAAGAGATATGCCGAGATGATGTTTGAAGGGCTTCACATGCCTGCCATCCACGTTGCCTACCAGTCCTGTTTATCCATGTACTCCTATGGAAAAACCTCAGCTCTTGTGGTGGAAATTGGCCATGGTGCTTCCCACGTGGTTCCCATCTACGAAGGTTACGTTCTGCGTAGCATTACTGGGAGAGTAGATTATGCTGGCTTGGACATCACACGTTACCTCATGAAGTTACTAAATGAGTCTGGAAACACATTCACAGAATACCAGCTAAATGTTGTACAAGCCCTCAAAGAGAAGTGTTGTTACACTTCCCTGGACCTTACCCAGGACTTGAGTTTGCCTGTTCAGAAACAACAAATGGATTACGAACTGCCAGACGGACACCTCGTCACTGTAGGCAAGGAGAGATTCCTTTGTGCTGAAGCGCTCTTCAAACCAGCCTTAATTGGCTCACAGCAGCCGGGGCTTTCGCAGCTGACGCTCACCTGCCTTGAGAAGTGCGATGCTGACACCCGCAAAAAAATGGTGGCGAACGTCCTGCTGTGCGGGGGCAGCACTATGATGCAGGGCTTTGCCGACCGCTTCCAGAGGGAACTAGCCAGTATGTGCCCCAGTGACCACCTCATCACAGCCGCATCCCCTCAAAGAATGTCTTCTGTCTGGATTGGTGGGTCTATTCTGGCCTCG